CTTGTCAAAAGCATCAGAATCAGTAACTATTCTTCTTTTAACAGCAAGATTTTCCTTGCCATCTCAATGTGCAAAAGGGACTTCAACTTAGCATCAAAAACCATTTTCTGAAGGGCATCCTTGGCAGCAACTGCAAATTTTGCATTTGAGAAGAGAGCAAAACCCTTAGGCTTTTCTCCCTTGAAGCTCAATTGCGAATCTTCATAACCTGGAAGCCATCTCATTAGATTCTGTAGCTCTCTCTCTTTGACATCTTCAGGTAGACCCATAATGAAGATAGTACGAACCTCGTCATGATTAGAAGGGTGAGATGGCGGAGAAAGCGCGGCTGCAGAGGGTGGAGGAGCATGGACTGGAAGTCTCTGCTGGAGAGAAGGGTGGATTCTAGCACCCGGCATGTGATGAAAGACTGTTGAAGTGAAAAACCCAGCGATGGAGAAGCGACGGACGGCGGCGTAAACCGGTGAAAAACGGCGATTAGATCTTGAAACAAGAGAGAAGCGGGACTGCCGGCTAGAAGAAGTAAACTGAGTCTACGTATCACCCCTGGAAATAAAATTTCCAGAACAAGAGTTCAAAGTTGACTCGGCAGTGTCGGAGGAAATCCACCAATAGTTGAGTCTGAAGACTGGGATGGCAGTGGAGAAAAGCAGAAGGTTTGGAATACTGAGCGTCTGTTCTTGCCGAAACTGCTCACTGCAAAATCATGGAGAGATGCAACGATTCTCTATACTAAGATAATGGGTTATGGTCGCAAAAAGGCTCTGAGCACTGTGGAGATGCGATGTCCAGTGTACGTTCAACGGATGGAGGCGAAAACGGCCGTGAGCAGCTTGTAGATCTGCGTAGAATAAGAGTCTTAATCGCAAATCCAAGCCCAGAATAGGAAACACCTTGAGCCGGCGATCTTCCCAGGAAAAAACGGCGTCAAAAAGGTGGTCGGAGTGTGGCGGAGGATGGCTGACGGCGGCGGCGGGTGGCGGACGACGGCGGCGGACAACTAGTGGATGTCGGAGGAGAGACGCCGGGGCTTGTGGAAATTTGAAATTTGAAAACGCCTAGGATAGAGAGAAAGATTTTACTGTCCATTGTTCGTTTTATGTTTAGGGAGAAAAATATAAATATGAAGTATTTCAAGTTTCAAATGCTACTTGCTATTATTTTTTTTTTTTTGCAAAAAAGAAGAAAAAAACAATTAAATTCTAGGGGTTTATTTTCTTCTCTGTTTTCGTGCAGAAACTTCTGTGTTAGAAGGGACTTCATTTATAATCCTAGAACATTGAAGAAGAGACTCATGGTTGTTGGGCTTGTGATGCTGCTTCTCTCTCCATTCCTTGTTATATTCATGCTGGTTTATCTCTTCTTAAGGCATGCTGAACAATTTTATAATCATCCAAGCATGGCTTCATCCCGCAGATGGTCAAATTTGTCGAAGTGGATGTTTAGGGAATTCAATGAGGTATGTTCATTCCCCCTTCTCTATGTTTCGTTTGAAAGCTAAATCTTTTTCTCTCTCTTTGTTTTGGGTGCTGCCAAGTCAAGATGGATTAATCCACCATATATCCTCACAAGCTTCTGTTATTACTTTAATGTAGTAAACGTAAGCGTGTCAATTCTTTGATGTTACACATTTTACGTGTGAAAGATTAAATTTATCATGATAAAGAAAAGTTATTCAGAACCTACTGTGAAAATGAAATGACACAATTGTCTTTGTCTTACAGGTTGACCATTTATTCAAGCATCGGATTAACAGCAGTGTAGTGCATGCTTCTGAGTACTTAAAGCGGTTCCCCTCACCAATTATTTCTATTATAGCAAAGTTTATCTCATTTGTATCTGGTGGCTTTGCTGCTATCTTGATCATCATTGCCTTTCTGGAGGAATCTTTGCTAGAGGGTCAAGTAATATTTTTGAGCTTCCACCATTGCAGTTTATCCTATTTTCTTTTGAACTCTTCTATATGTCAATTTTGTTAATTACATTTACTTGTTCCAAACTTGTAGATATTTGGTCGGAATTTGTTTTGGTATGCAGCTGTTTTTGGAACCATAACAGCTATTAGCCGGGCTGCCGTTACAGATGAACTTTTGGTCCTTGATCATGAAGGAGCAATGTCTATGGTGGTCCAACACACACATTACATGCCAAAGAGATGGCGTGGTAGAGAAAACACCGAAACTGTCCGGAGAGAGTTCGAAACTCTATTTCAGGTAATCCCCCCGTAGTTCCCTATTATTTATTTTACCTATAATCCTAGTTGTCTGACATTCTTATGATTTAAATATTTAGTTATACAGCCGGCAGAAGTATATGGATTTTGAAGTAACAAAATATCGTTTGAGAAATGTTTCTTTATTCTTTTCTCTTTAAAATTTTCCTTTTATTCTTTTCTCTTTAAAATTTTTCATTTTTAAAATTTTCCGATGCAGTACACTGGAATGATGTTGCTAGAGGAGATGGCCTCGATATTCCTCACTCCATTCTTGCTTATATTTGTTGTTCCAAAGGTTTTCCCTTTTCCGTCTCCTTTTTTCGGGAAAATGTTCTGATGTCAGTTTGTCACTTTTTCACTTTTCTTTAGCATTAGATCTTAGCTTTTGAACTAAAGATTATGATGTTTATTTTGCAGCGGGTGGATGACGTTTTACAGTTCATTGCAGATTTTACAGTGGACATTGAAGGTGTCGGTCATGCTTGCAGGCAAGGGTGTTCTTTTTCTTTTGATTTTTGTTAGACCGGTTTATTACCAACTGTATCATGTCCCGTTAAATGAAATTATGTGTCCAATTGTCCTTTTTGCAGTTTTAGTGCCTTTGATTTCTCAAACCATGGCAATGAGAATTATGGCTCTCCACACAATGCACCTCGTGCTCAGAGGAGTTCCCAAGGGAAAATGGAGAAATCATTCTTGAGGTCTGATCATTGCAATGGTTAATTCGATTCGTATACGTCCTCTTTCCTAAAGCTGCACCTATCATCTTGGCTATTTGCCTGGTGAAAATAGTTTGGGAAATCCAAAATCTCCGAGAACTCTTACAGTTGTGTTCTCTGTGATAAATGCTGACAAGTTTCGAGATTAATTTATATGTGCATCTGATGAAACATGATAGTTCAGTTTCCCTTTTTAAAGTTTATGTTTGTGATAAATCTTGGTTATGGTGCTTCATCTACCCTTTTATTGTGCAGAATATCTTTTCTGCATTTTTCCCTCTAAGCATAATTCTGTCATGAATAATTTTATTCCGATTGCAGTTTCCAAAGTAGCTATCCTTCCTGGGAACCAGATGCTCGGGGTAAGCAGTTCCTGTCGAATATTAGAACTTTCAGGGAGAAAAAGTTGCAAACTCAGGGAACTAGACATGCATATTATCCGGGTAGATTGTGGCAAGCAAGCCCTCCGAGAGCATACGGAGATAGAAATGGTCTTTTATCAAGGGAAATGCAACATGATATTCCGGACACTGGCCGCAATTTGGGTTCTTTATGGGTAACTGATGCTGAACAAAAGAATCACCCATATCTTCTTGATTGGTATTATACCACCTCTCGAACTCGCTGTGCAACCGGTTATAGGGGAGACACTGCTGTAACGAGGCCATTTGAACCAGGTGACCAACGGTATGGAGATTATTGGGTGCCAACCAACATGACACATAATGAAGCAAGAGATGAAGACTATTGGTCACACCATTACAATGATCAGTCACGGTTGCAGTCACATCTAGAAGCTTCAACATCGGCTTCTTTCTTTCACGAGAGTGTTCTCCAGCATCATGATACAAACGAACTACCGCACGACGCAAGGAGCCATTGGTGGGACAGAAGCAGTTCACATAGTATACAGCCCGAAACAAGCTTTCTCGAGCCTCCTGATTTCAACCGCTATTCTTCTGACCGTCAGTATGATAACTTATCTGAGAGAAGTGTAGAAGAGGAAGATCAATTCCTTGATTTGAGGCCATCTCGGAGGTTATCTTGCTCAACGTACATGGACGATCTTGAAGCTGGAAGAGGGGATGTAAGTCTTCATTTTGACGATATATTTAGCAGACCTCCTGAAACTCCCACTGTAAATTTGAGGGCTCCGAGATTGGATTTATCGAAATGAATGGGAATGCAAATGGGTTTCCATTGTTGGACTAGGGTTTAGTTTAATGAAGGAAACTCTGTATTCTTTTGCCGTATATAGATTCATCATGAGGTTAGATTCTAGACCGTCTCAACTCGGATTTTACAAGGTTAACATGCTCCAATGAGCCATTGTTAGCATTGTGACAGTGTATAAACAAACAATTACGAGCATATTGATGATCATTCTAAAATTTCATTCAATTCCATATACTTCTTTCTGAATTTTTTCATCATCAAGCATCATTGTGTTGGCAAACTAGTTTATTATTTTGTTCTTTGCACAGCTGCTGGAAATCAATTATGGCATTTACCTGCAAGTCTCCATCATGTAATCAACACTCGTTGGGTCGAATGATATGAAGTTTATCATCTTTAAGTAAAGTCTTAGATTCGAATTTTCCTTTAAGTAAAGTCTTAGATTCGAATCTTATGCTTACGGGTTCAATCTGGCTCCGGATGATAGATGTGTTCAACCATCAAGTGTCTGTCATTATCATGGATATATACATATATTTATATAACCAATATCTTCAGTGAAATGTGTTAAGGATTGTCATCCAGCTATTGCAGAATCAGATTCCACCTTCTGATTTTTGTAAAACTTTTTAATTTTACACATTTTTAGGATCGTTGGATGAGGAGAAATCAAATGTTGATATTAACAGTAGGAAATGTGAAGATATTTACCGAGGAAAAAACAAGGAGTTAATCTCAGCCTTTGATTTTCCCTCATCCAACGATACTAAAAAGGTTTAAAACTAAAGTTTTACACTAGGTGTAAGTGGATCCTAACCCTATATATATATATCACTTTGTTTGAATCTTCACATTCATAGCATAAGTACTGAGAAAGATAAGACTAAATAATGGAGCGGCTTGTTTCAAGCTGGTGTAATGATGGTGCTTTGCCCCAGTCTTATATTTGTCCACCAGAAACCAGACCCGGCAAGCTCACCATTCCTAGAGGTGACACCATTCCGGTTATCAACCTCGGGGAAGCTTCGATTAATCGAAACAATACGATTATAAATGTTCTCGGAGCTACCCAAGAGTTCGGGTTTTTTCAGGTTAATGCGACAACCTTAAAACTAAACTTCTTTTTTTTTCCGGAATATTCTTATGTTTTACTTAGTTTTGTCTTTTCAATCAGGTTGTAAACCATGGAGTTTCTGAGAAACTATTGAATGACACCATGAAAGTCTTGGTGGAGTTCTTTGAGATGCCGATGGAAGACAAGGAAAGCCTCTATTCGGAGGATCCGAATAAAGTGTACAGGCTTTACACAAGCAACATAAACTATGGAACTGAAAAATATCACTTTTGGCGTGATGTTTTGAAACACCCTTGCCATCAGGCCTGCATTGAACTTTGGCCTCAAAAGCCTACACGGTACAGGTAAATCATAAGGTGACATTACAGAACTATGGCTTCGACTATTTGTTTCTTCTTCATTAATCCATTAAACCCTTCATTGGCAGAGATGTTATATGGTCATTTTCGGTTGAAGCAAAGAAGCTGGGGTTGATGATTTTGGAGTTGCTATGTGAGGGCTTAGGGCTCGAATCCGGGTACTTTGAGGACGATCTAAGTGAAGCTTTGCTATTAGTAGCTAACCATTACCCGCCGTGCCCGGATCCGAGCATGACCCTGGGGTTACCTAAGCATTGTGACCCTAATCTCATAACAATCCTACTCCAAGGAGGTGCCTATGGGCTCCAAGTCTTCAAAGATGGACAATGGATCGGTGTTCAGCCTCTGCCTAATGCTCTCGTGGTTAACGTAGGACTCCAGTTACGGGTGCGTTGTTCCGTTCCTCGATTATCTTCAAGTCATCAAAGCGACCAACAAATAGTCATGTGATATGTTAGTAAGTAACGCGTATTAATTACTAATGATTCTAGCATCCATGGCATGTCATACAGATTGTGAGCAACGGCAAGCTGAAGAGTGTCGAACATCGCGTCGTGACCAACTCGAAGGTTGCTCGAACGACTGTCGGATTGTTCATCAGTTCTTGCGAAGACAGCGTAATACAGCCTGCGAAATCTCTGACCAGTGCAGCCGAGCCGCCATTATACAGACCTTTTCGATACAAAGAGTTTCTGAGTTACCATTCTCGATGATGGGGGACACTGAGTAAACTCTTCAGCCTTTTAAGGTTTCCAACCAATGATCAAAGTGTGCTTTGATGATCATGATCATGGTTTGAATTATAATTATAATTATAATGTACTGTATATGTTATGATGGAGGTCCAAGAATTGCAGAGTCAGATTGCAGTTTGTTTTATAATATATAGTATGTAATTGTGAGTTTGCCAATTTAATAAATAATACTGCTTTTGAAAATGACTTATCTATTCTTTTTCCTTCTGATTTCATGGATGATGTAAGCTGGCAATCGATTCCAATACTTAGCTAGATACTTTAGTGCATGATGAAGTATGCAATATGCAATCTACGCGGCTAAGTAGTTCGTGAGTTGCTCAAATTTGACTCAATTAAAATTCGGTTAATATTTGGCAACTCGTGAGTTGTCCATTATGTACTTGGACAGATGTAGGATGTTATGTTAGGAGAACGAACCTCTGAAGTTTTAGGAGGGGACAAATTTACAAAATTCGGAGACGAAAATAACTTTTCAATAGAAATACATAAAAATAATCTAAAATATATGATAATTTTAAAATTTTCAGAGCAACTCTCCCACCCATCTCTTCTAGTTCCATCAGTCTTTGTATTCTTAATGATTATAAGAATTTAGTTAAATTTACTTCTTACAAATTAATGAATTATACTAAATATAATAGAGTTGATTGCCCTGCATGTTCTCAAAGTATGATTCTCATTTTAAATTGGTCCCTAAATTTTTAAATGTTTTAATTTTATCCCTAAACTATGACTATGATTCTAAATTAGTCCACTAACTTTTGAAAATTTCAATTTCATCTTCAAACTTTGGCCTTCATCCTAAATTGGTCTTGAAACTTTTTTAACATTCCAATTTCATCCCAATCTATATGTCTATACTAATCACATTCCTAATTAATAAAATTGTTAGGCCAAGTTATATTATTATACGTTTGAAAAAAAATCTAGGCTAAACTATGATTGAAACTAATTACATATTTAGAAAAATTTGGGGATGCACTTGGAATATTCAAATGTTTGGGGACCAATTTAGAAAGAGGTTCATAGTTTACGGATGAAATTAGAATGTACAAGAGTTTAATGACTAATTTAAAACGGGAGTCAGAGTTTGAGGATAAAATTGAAAATTTCAAAAGTTTAGAGAATAATTTGAAATGAGAGTCATAATTGGGGGACATATATATGATGCAATTAACTCAATATAATAGGTTAACTTCCTAAAAATAATTCATATATATCTATATTGTATCGATATTTGACTATTTTCTTAATTAATCACTGGCGTCCGATCTATTGACCAACTAATTCAGACCGGGTACTACAGAGGCGAGGGAGACTCTTCCAACCCAGTTTGCTATATTCGCAAACGTTAGGATTCGAACCCCTGATCTTGCTTAATGGACCTAGTGCCTCGTTTCACTATACCAACTAGTTGTTGGTGATATTTGACTAATTTTTATGACAAGTCAGATGACACCAACTTAATGAAAGTACGAAAAGTTAAACTCTACAGCCTCGAAGTTTGTTATAACGGCTGTCGGATTGTTCATCGGTTCCTGCAATGAAAGCATCATAGAGTCTATGACATCTCCGACCAGTGCAGTCGGGGATTGTCTCAGGAAAGGCAGGTTAATATACGGCTAATATACGGCATTACCGGATACATTAAAATGTATTTAAAAAATTCGGTTTAGCGGTACCTATTATGTTGACAACTAATAATGTTTTAGGTAGAAAATATGAAAAACTATTAAAAAATTTGGTAACCGGTAAACTTTGGTTATCGATAAGTATCTATCCTTTTTATAAAAGTGTCCATACTTTTAACATATCAAGTAAATTTTACCGGTTTTGTCATAATGAATCTGATTTTGTCATATTTTTACCTGTTATATTGTAAAGTATATATCCTTTTTATAAAAGTGTCAATACTTATTTCACTGTGAAAATATATTTATTATTATCTTTGGTTAATATTGTTAAATTTAAATTCTAAATAATATTTTATAAAATATCAAAACAATCAAATAATTTTTTGTGTAAATGAAATTATTTGATTAATATTGTAGGTGGAAAACATGAAACACTATTAAAAAAAATTGAAACATAAATTACATAACTTTTAAAAAAGTATATATCATTTTTATAAAAGTGTCCATACTTATAAAAGTAGGTCTAAGTCATGAAGAAATATTAAAAAATTGTGCTACCGGTTCGTGTCGATCCAAATTAAAAATGTGTCGATCCAAAACGATATAACAGGTAAAACTATGACAAAACCGATATAGAAATGATAAAACCGGTAAAGCGCTACCGGATACATTTAAAGTGTCGGCACTTTAATATAAGGATCGACACTTCGTGAATTTAAAAGAGAAGCAGTTTTAAATCCTATAAAGTGTCGATACTTTAAAAAAATGTATCGATCCAAAACGATATACCAGGTAAAAATATGATAAAACCGGTAACAAAATGATAAAACCGATAAAACGTTACCGGATATATTGAAAGTGTCGATACTTTATATAAGGATCGACACTTTGTGAATTTAAAAGAGAAGCAGTTTTAGCGCCTATAATGTGTCGATACTTTAAAAAAATATATCGATCCAAAACGATATAACAGGTAAAAATATGATAAAACCGGTATCAAAATGATAAAACCGGTAAAATGATACCAGATATATTGAAAGTGTCGATACTTTCGTAAGTACGTGTAATAAATTATCGACACTTTCAAAGAAATATGTAATTATCCTTTCGAAAGTATCGACACCTGACATAAAAGTATCGACACTTTTGTATTTGTATCGATTAAATATAAATAACATATCCGATGAAAATATAAGCTAAATATCCTCTGAAAATAGATAGAACGGACGAGTTTTTGAAATCGAAGCGTAATTGTTGCTGCATTTCAGAAGGCGTTTCTAAAGCGAAGTTTGTTTGTTTGTTGCTGCAGTCGAATCGAAAAGTATGTTGTCGAAACCCTAATTTTTTATTATTACAGTAATTGCGATAGGGTTTTTATGTGTTGTTTGGGGTTTTGGAGTAAAGAAGCATTTGGGACCGATTGCAGGTAGAAAGTGATATTCAAGGAAAAATATAAATGTCGATACTTTTATTAAATATTATAGGTAGAAAATAATATTATAGGTTGTATAAATGTGCCGACACATTTTGGTGTGGCCATTCAAATTCTTTTGAAGAAAACCGTTTTACCACAAGAGTAGTTATCTATATTTGTATATTGAATAAAGTGTATGTAACAAAATAATTTGATTTGCGTAAACTGATATATGAAGGAAAAATGGAGTCAATGGGTTGGAAAATTGTTGGTGGAGCAGATGACTTTGAAATTGAGGCCGAGACTCGAAAGCAACCAAAGGGTGGATATATGTACTTCTAGTAAGTATCAATGTCTTTTTGTTATTATTGTTGAAATGGTAATTGGATTAAAGTATCGATAAACTTTAAATTAATTACAAATTTTAAATGTTGACAGTATGGTCGAATGCAAAAGGATGAAGGAAGATGGCACACAGAGCGGTTCGGTATGTAAAATGAAATTGACATTGAGTAGTATTTAGTGTTAATGTATTGATTAAGAAACGTTTATGTTTTATATTAGGTGACAAAAGATGTGAGGTCCAAATGGAATTCAATGAGTAATGCTGAAAAGGAACCTTACATCACACAGTCAAGGAATGATAGTAAAGAATACAAAGAACGGAGGAAAGCACATGAAAATAAGGTATTCATTAAACTTGTAAATACGTTGATACAAAATATATAAGAACTATAACATTATATATTATTAAAAATGTAGGAAGTGTCGACAAGATGCAGCATTAAAAGGGTGAATTTATTAATTAAACACCTTAAGGAGAAGGGTCAGTTGAATGTGCTGGGAGAAATAGGTTTGGATCGTTGGTAGGAGTAAGAGATCGACTTATTCGGAGGGAATTGTGTCGATCCTTGATGGCGCAATTTGATGTCAGTCAATGTATTGCTAAATATGGTGATTTTTCATTTCCTCTCGGGATCCCATGTGCTGCAGCCGTATTGGGGGTAGAAAATGAAGGCAAAAGTGTTGTAGAAGTCTGTAAGAGTAAGGACTGGAAAGCACTTGCCTCCAAATATGGTTTGAAGCATAAGGTGACATATGCTGAAATTGAAGAGGAAATAAAAAGTGGATCTTACGTTGGGGATGAGCTGAAGGCCAGAGTTCTATTATACTTTGTCGGTATCTTTCTTTGTCCAACGGGTAATACGTCAACGAACAAAGAACATATGAAGCTTATTTGTGATGAAGGCTTGAAGGGTGAATTCAATTGGGCTGAATATATCCATTCGAGATTGATTGAATCAATAATCACCTTTAAAATGGCAGCCAGAGATACCTCAAAGGGTGCATAGCAATCTTAGAGGTAAATGAGTTGAATAACTTTTTGTGTTTTTTATAAAAATATAAATTTTATTATAAATGCAGGTTGCACTGTTCGATTTTTGGTCGGGCTGTGAGGCAGTGCCGGCTTATGAAAGAACCGGAGTGGCATGCATCCGTGCATGGGGGATGGAAGAGGTGGTTAGAGTGATGGTGAAGTTGAAGTTGGATAGAGCGAAGAAGCAAGAAAGGGTAATAAATGTAATTAAATAATATTAAGAATATAATCAATGTCTTAATATTGTAATTTAATTTTGAAGGTTATTGGCAAGGATGTAGAGGAGGCAGAGGAGAAGAAAGGAGGGATGGTTGTATTGGGGGATGACGGTGAGGGAAAACAGAGTAACTTCGACATTTTGATGTCTGAATTGGCTGATATCAAAAAAATCCAATTTGAAATCATGCAAAGACAATCAAGAGTCGAAGAGAAACTTGATAGAGTCGAAGAGAAACTTGAGAGAGTCGAAGATACACTTGAGAGGCATAAGGGGGTAGTGGAAGGAAAAATAGATGGAGTGGTGAAAGAAGTAGAGGTGTTGAGAGGTGAAGTGGTGAAAGAAGTTGGGGTGTTAAGGGGTGATATTAAGATGGTGACGGGTGAAAAATTTGAGGGAGTGGTGAAG